GGACAGATCGATTTCGTTAGCGATGTCATAATTCTGGGGTTCCGGTAGGGCTGGAAACGAAGGCAACCGGTTTTCCCAGTCTGTTCTGGTGGAATTTTGAGCTGTCATTTGTGCTGTCGTCCAGAGGGATATTCTTGACGTATGCAACAGAAGGGCGAGCCAAATCTTTCGAAAACTTGATAGATGGGATTTCTAATTGCTGCACTGAAACTTCCGATGGGCATACAGGGGTATGCGATCGCTACTTTAAATCTCCGGCGGAGCGAGATATTAGCCATTGACGGGTTCAGGATGTTAATATAGCAAGTCCCGTCTGAGTTTGGCGTAACGAGAGCTCGGCTGATGACAAAGATGTCATCCATTGGCCGTAGATTATCTTCAATAAGGAAGTCATTACATCTTGGCCATGTTAGTCCATCGATATGAGCTTCCAACTATGTTATTAGTCCGTCTAGGCAACACTATGTCGTTGACGAGCTGTACCTCGTAAGATGATATGTCCGCAAGCGGATATAATTGATGGGCACGAGGTCTATATATTCTGGTCCTAGTCGTATGGTTCTATGATGGAGGTCGAAGGAAACCAATAGACCGTTTTCGTTTGAAGCACGGATAAAGTCCGATCCTAGTAAAAGTGGGACTGGACAATCTTTGTCTGCCGCTACATAGAAGCAATGGGAAATAACATGTGTTCCTATCTGAACTGGCAGACCAACGGTACCTGACAACTGTATTATTGTACCATTTGCAGTTGTCGCTGTTCCTGGTGCTCCCGTGGGCGATTTCGTACCTCCGATCAATGATAAAGTTGAGGCCCTCATGCATGATATAGTTGCTCCGCTGTCCAATAACGCTGTGACCGAGTTGGTGCCAATTTTGACCTTCAAGTATGGCAAATGTTGTACTTCCGTTTTTATGGCATAGATATGTGGTACGAATAGAGGTTCTTCTTCCCTTGGTGGTAAATCCACCATTACTAAATTGACTTTATGTTTCTGCTTCCTAGTCTTCCGTTTCGGGGTGAAGTTCTTGGCGATGTCGAACATAGCTGACGCGGCGGTCGAAGTTGCGCGTCTAAGGAAGTAGAGCTTCACGTTATTAACGCAAGCTCCGACACAAAGCAAAATAATAGTGGCGGGTATTGCAATCCAAAGTATGGTGTAGATAACTGACCACTTGATATCTTCCACGCCATTCGAAAGCTTCTGTGTTATTGACCCATAGAGGGGTAATAGAGACTGACCCAGGGACATGCTGGTGTTCCGTATCCGTGAGAATGTCTCTTCTATCATTCCTCTTTTCTAGAGTCGCAGGACCACATTTGCTTGCTCCTGTCTGATTGCCTCCATGTGTGGAATCAATGATAAAGCGTGATTGTCAAACAGGCGGTGGAATGTAGGTGGAGCGTCGAAAAGAAAAGGCTTCACTCTATCGTTGATAACGGCATTGGGCAGTATAAGCTTCTGTGTCAAGTTGGAATCCTTTGGTGATAAGTAAGGGCAGGGAACGGTGGCGGATGTCTGTATCAAATCCTGTGTTCCCGGTATTTGGAACCAAAGATCCTCGTCAATCCTGACGGGTGTCAATATGTAACATGTTCCACTAACCGTATGATTATTATAGACGAAGGTTGGTGTAACGTGGCGACATTTCTTGATTAATAAGTTGTCCGCACTCCGTACGGCCGTGATGTCAGTTCTTCCCAACAGAATCCTGGTGGCCCATGTAGGGTCTACCAAGCTTAGGGTACGTATCCGTTGTGCTCCGAGGTATTGTCGGATACAGATATTATTAAACTGACGTCGCACCGCAAAATTTTGTGGGGAAATATTTTCCGTGTTAGGTGGTTGTGTGGGCACAGAAGGTATTGAAGATGTTGTAGAGAAGTTTGCAGCTTCTACTGTTGTTGAAGCGTTTTCCTCTTCCTCAGCCGTTGTTTGTATGATCGTCGTTGAGGCAGGTATAATTGATGTCAATACCAAATCCACTACTGATACCGTTGAAAGTATAGAGTCCACTACTGGTACCGTCCAATCCATAGAGACAAATCTCGTTGTTCGCGTCAATATTTCCTTCCATGGTGGGGTGGAGGCTGATGTTTCGGCCTCTATTACGGGTTGTAGGGTGGGTAGTGGGATATGGTAATACAGGTGAAAGACTTCTGGCGTTGTGGATGGGGAAATGGAAGAGGTAGTACTCGTTGGTATCGTCGACGTTCTCTCCGAAGTACTTGATGGTTGAGTATGATGTTTCATCAAAAGTGTTGTCTCCGGCGATTGAGGCGATGATACTGCTTTACTAATTTTGGTTGTGGTAGAAAGGAAGGTCCCTTTTGTAGAGAGTGTTTTGATTGTACTGGTAGACGTTGATGGTAGAGTTTTCGTCGTCGTCAAAGTATTTCGAACAGGTGATATCCTTGTTATCGATTTGAATGTCCTTATAGGAGGACGTCATCGTTGTTCGTATTGTTGTTGTTGTCGTCAAGGTTGTTGTTCTTCGTGAAGTCGTCGTTGTCCCTAGAGTTGTTGTTTCTGGGGCTGATGTCGTTTGTATCGCTGATGAAATTCGTGACGTTGTGGTCAGGGGAACTGTTCGGGGTGATGATGTTGCCATAGTCGGATTGCCTATCGTAGTTGGTGAAGTTATCGGGGCCAGAAGAGTTGTTGCAAGTGCTGCTAAAGTGACGTTGAAATAGGGAATTTCAGACTTCCATTCTGGGTCTATCTGTATTCGATTCTTCCAAACTCCTTTTCGAGATAATCGTCGAATATCGAAGAAATACCGAGTTCCAGATCTCGTCGGATGTTAGTCACGGCATAATTGGGAGGTGTTACCTTCGCGGATTCCGCAAATAGATTTAATTGCTTCATGCGATACTCGCCGTACCGTATCGTGCGTAGAACGATGTATCTTAGATCATCCGCTTTGTAATACCGGGTCGCCCGAATGAGATCGCTATTAGTTATATTCCATTGCTATAGCTCGTAGAGGATCTCATTCCATGTTATCGGGCGCGTGTTGAAAACCGGGATTCTTCTGAGTTGTCTAATACCGAACAATCGCTTGATCACCAATACGGGTTCCATCGGCACGATTTCGAACGGGTAGGTATTTCCATTTTTATCCGTGAGGTGTCGTATAGCACGCTTCGTTCTTCTTCCTTGATGGGCTATGCGAAATACATAGTTTTGAATGGTAAGGTCTTGAGGGACACGGGGAAAGGTAATGATATGTTTGATGTCGTGAGGTAGCTGGTGCCCAACTGGCAGTATTTCGTAGGCTGTTCATGCAGAAGGTAGTCTTCGGAAAATTGGAAAACGAGGTCGGGGTGGGGAAGGACTATGTAATTTAGGGTGACGAATGCTTCAAAAGTTCCAACATGCTTGAATCTTCAGGAAGGTGCAACTTCGGTTGGTTTCCATATGATCGTGTATTCCTGTGTGAGACAGTATCCTTGGCTGTACGAGCAGTTCTCAGTGTCGCCCAATGGACTAATGATGTGCTGTCCGTCGAAAGTGGCAACTTGTCCTTCCTCTACAGTGTATACGCTGCGAAGATAGTTCCTGGTCCCCCATAGTGGTATCGCAATATCATCTTCCTCTATTTCATTAGTTTTCCATAATCCGACTGCAGAATCAATTCATGATCGCGTATTTTCTTTGATGTCCTGGCCGTTGCGCGCAGTTCTTAGGGGATCGACAACTGACGACGTCGCAGTATGGTGGTGGTAGTACGAATGCGGAGAAAACTGCTTATGGATACCTCAATGGCATCTCTGTAGCACTTGGTTGCGTTATTCCAAGATGGATTGGAAACGTCTGCAAACAGTTTCGTCGTAGTTCGTAGCATGAGTGCGTTTGTCGGAGTTGTACAATCGAATGATTCTGGAAGTGAAAAGATGTTCGAGTATGGGTTTGTGCCACATATCTGGTATTTCGCAATTGTGAATCCACTGCACAGTATCAGAGTCATGATACACAATAAGTGAATCCCTGGAGAGTTGATCCTTCCTCTCGCGAAGGTGCCGGGAGGTGCGGGAGCTGGAGCATCACTTATCGGAAGCGGTCTATATTGTGCATATGGTGGTGCTCCATAGCCATAGGGTTTTCTTCCTTGTACTGGTGGAAATCTAGTGGTACACTCTACGATGGAAGAGCGGTGGTGTACGTTGTCGGAAAGGTGGGTATCTGGGATAATATCCTCGTGGACTAAAGAAAGGATTTTGGGTGGGTCGCATTGTCCTCTGCATCTGCCTGAACTTATTTCTATCCTGATCACTGGTGGGTTTCTGTCGTGGTGTTGCTTTCATGTGACTCAACTGCTGCTCAAGCCGATTGATTTTCTCATCCATAAGAAGAGCATTGACGGCTTGAAGGGCGTCTTCTTTCCTTTCCTGTTCCAAGATGCGAGATTCCTTTTCTGCACTGCATACTATCTCATCGAATTCGTTCGTATCAGGTAGTCTTCTAACCGCTTTCTTAATCTCGGGATTGAGGCCCTTGATAAAGAAGTCAATGGCCATTTGCTTAATGAGTGGTTGACCTTGTCCCTGGAAAGCGATCTTCGTTTTGTTGTAAATTTTCTTGGCGAATTCTCCCACGGTGTCCTTTCCTTGCGTCATATTATGTAGCTCATCTCGGATATTGCTGAGAAGAGAGGTATTCTTCATTCGCTTGGCTAGCTCCGTTACCAAATCCTTCCAAGGTATCTTCTCTCGATTCGGGATCTGTTGGTACTTCAGTTTCGCTCCACCTGTCAGGTAGAGTGGTAGTATTTTCTGCGAAATCAGGTTCGGGATAGCAAGCTCGTGCGTCACTTCCGAGTATTCAGTCAAGAATTCCTCAGGAGTTTTTTCCCCAGAGCCTAAGAACTTGTCCAATCTGTTTTCCAGTATTTTGCAGGCCTTGTATATCTGCTCTTGAAGTTCCTTGTCCGAGATAGAAGGTGTTGCGCTTCTTTCTTGTGACGTAGTCGGTTTACTTTCTTCTTCTTCCTCTGACATGCTTGATCTTCTTTCCTTTGGCATAGTCGACTTCCTTCGGTTCGCTTCGAAAATTGCTTCTCTTCGTTGCTCCCTGCGTTGGTGTCGCAATAATCGTGCTGTGGTTGATGACGACGTATTGGACGCTGTTGGTTCTGCAAATAAAGGTTGGCGGGAAAAACAGAGTGAAGGATGAAATACTAAGATGAGATTATTTTATTCTAGTCTAAAAAGAGGAGCTTCAAATGTACTAACATTTTGCTAAGAAAGTGTGATTGTAATTTTATTTTCTACTTTTACAGATGATGCCCAACGGTAGAGCCAATGAAGTGCCTGAGGCACGAAACGATCAAAATGCTAGAGAGATGCTGGAAGCGCCAAATGATCGAATTAATGAAGAAGAACTACTTGAAGCACCAAACGGTCAAAATGATGGCGAAAGAGTGTTCGGAGCAGATGTTCAAAGCGATCGTCAGCAATGCTCATGTTTCTGAAATTTCGACTTTAGTTATTAACGCTAAATAGTTCGAAGCCGGAACCTCCATGTAAGGCTCGGCATAGTTCCGCAGAGCAGCTAATGCTAAGATTGATGAAAATATCGTGTGTGAGATATTCAATGTTCGCCGGCCTTAACAAAACCAATTCCCAACAACTATTTATTAGCAAGGAGATGATCATGCAATAGGACGAAACAAGTGACCTTTCAAATTATGACAACTAAACTACAAAAGATCGCAGTGAGCCGTCGGCCCGCGGCGGTGAATCATGACGGCCGATATGAGTAAATAAAGGTGCGGTCGTTACTCGCAAAATTTACAAGACGAGGGTAGAGAATTCGAGAAGGAAGTTGAGAAACTACATCGAATAAGAATAAGAGAAGGTACGAATGCACACCTGAAGGCTTTCTACGGTCTCTTATATATATGTTCTGCTAATGGATACAAACATACTTGGTCACATAAAACGTATAATAAAAATGGGGTTCAAGTTAACATTGCCTAATGGAAAATACACAAACTTCCTAACGGGTCCATTATCCTTCGATAGTTTCCATGGATTTCTTTCTCTTGTTCTGCTAGTTCGTTTTCGTCATGTTCGATGTCGCTTCACTGTTGCAATGTTTGCTTACTCACTCATTGTGTAAACATAGAGTCCGCTGTTCGCACATGTGCGGAATATTCGACAAGGCACGTTACAGTAGAAGCACCTTAGCCGACGACTAACCAATCAATGATGATTCACAGTAAGGGTTCCGTGGGCTCCTCTCATAAGAAGAGAAGAGACTGATTTTTCTAAATGAGTCATCGCTTACTTGAAGGTTGCGTCCAAACGATTAGTATTCAAGCAGCAAATGCTGATCGCATGAGGAACGGTTAGGCCAAGGATCGTCTTACTTACAACAAGTATCACCATTATAGAAAAAATCCTTTAATCAAACCGAGCTGCTAGAGAGCAAAGAATTTTTCCATTTAACCTTTTTAGAGAAAAAATCTCCGATTGTTTGTGAGAATAGCGTTCTAAGAAAATTAAAGATAATCTGCTAGTAGTGGTGTATAAAAGGGGTAATGTATATGTTAGCGTTGCCATCAACGTTTTGTTACGAGTATGACTCCTTGCCAAATTCATTTTGAAGCCTAGGATAAAAAAGATCTTCAAAAAGGTGCCAATTGTGAGTACTGAAGGGTACCAATAGGGCTTTTTGAGTCTCATTCCGTCACTCCTTCAAAGCACCATTACAACTTTAGTGCTGTATAACTTACTTCCCTCGTTTGATCACTTGTCAGCATTTTTGTTTTTTTATGAGATAGAAGAAAACATTCACAATACGCTATTAGGGCTCTTGCTAAAATGCTATATTTCGGTGTATGGACTGAAATCAAAAAATTAACTCTTTGTAAAGAACTTAATGTCAACCACCGGTTGCACTATTATGCACTGCAAATTGCTTAAGTGCATTGAAGCCTCTGATGAGCTGAAAAAGCGTTAGGGCATCTTTTTGAGCATTTTTGAGTAGGCTAATCAAAATGCTCTTTTGAGGCTGACAATTTGATTTTTTTATAAGTCGATGCTACGATAGATGCAAATTGAAGTTGCAATTTCCATAGACCAATTACTGGTAATTACTGGTAATTCATCGACATCAATATCTTCATGCTGTCCACATTTCGCCAATTTGCGTTTTGAAAGCAAAAAATGGTTTATTTACGGGATTTAACAGCATTGACATTTACAACTTAGAGATAATGAGATCGACATTTCCGTAGAAACCTCATGCAATAAAGTACAGTCTTTCTGCAAAACGCAAAAGATTTTTATTTTTGCCTAATGCTTGGCTTCCAAAAATTCGGAAAGCATCCCAAGAAACTTTCTAAAGGTGTCTAAAGCTACGTCTTATACGTTGAAAGTATCTAACTCGCCTCCCTCAATCGAGTAGAATTTTTTCAACCGTCATTGCTGGTGATGATTAGTATTCTATCTGCTTCCTCCTTTCTCGGATGAGAGAAGAAGCACAACTCCCCAAAGTGTTTGCCAAAGTAATGTTGTTCACCAGGCTACTTCTCAGACAATGAATAATTCACTTAAGCTCCCTGGAAAGTGTAGTCTCTCCCCGGTGGTAATGCATGATTATGAAGACTGCACTTGCCCAATTCTCATTGTATATTCTGGTATATAGTTATGTAATGTGCATATGCAAGTTATATCGCATAAGGTTTGTGATCTTCAGAAATTCGAACTCCGTATGGGGCCATTTGTAGTAGCCTTGCTTTCGTAAGACGAACTTAGCGGCTACAATTACATTCTGAGCCCATTGAGCGCTATTAGTTATTTTTTATGGAGAATTGATTTTGACATGGAAATCCAAGTCTCTATAGAAATTTATGTAGCTGTTGATTAGCTAAGTTTTTTTTAACGAATTACGCAGATCTTTATTATCATATATCCGCTCTTTTGAATTTTTGAATGAAAATTGAGTAATAAAACCACTTCGTCCTTATATCGTTATCCCATTAAAAAAGCGCTATTTTGCCTTTCCAGACCTCGTTTTCAAGTTGTATTAAGTGCACAGATGACTAAATTTAGTGACTTGATACACCCTTTGGTTGCATAAGCGCAATAAGGACTGAGACCTGCGGTTTATGAAGTTCTGTAGACAAGAATCCAAAATTTAGGTCAAGTATAATATTCAATTTTTCTGCTTAATTGGTTGAACATGACTTTCTGTGGCCATGCAAACAAACATCAAAATCATAAATGGGCGTACACTTCCTACATTTTACACCTGACCGCGGCTCAGTTTATCACACATAATTATTGGAAATTTAATGAAAAACTTTTGCTCTTTTACTTTGCTTCAGAACGTCACCGCAAAAATAATTGCTTAAACAGAGTTGATATCCGATCTTCCTTGATATACTGCTTGCACCTGCTTGCAGAACTTCTAATTCCCTACCAGTGACTCATTTTGTCATTGTTATGTTTCATAATGGTGATAGGTGCCTAAGTCCCATTCTGAATCATAGCTTAATCCTCTCTCTGAATAGTAGCAGATCAAATACCCAACAACTAGAACCGCATTTAGTTGTATTCGATTGCATTTCCGCTTTCATTATTCACAGATGCATGCGCGATTATCATGAAGATAGTTGATGATTCATAATTCATATGCTTAGGCAGCGCTCAACAATATCCTGAGCTTTAGTTTATTCATCATTTGAGCTTTCCGAGTGTGTTGAATGTAAAGCTATATTTTATTCTTGATGGCAATACATAAAATGAACATTTGTAAACTTTTTGAAGTGACGAGTGCTGGGTGGGCGTGGCTCATTGCCAGCACCTTGCCAATAATTGGCTGGGAGACAACAGCCAATCGTCGCCTAGATAGGCGGAGAACAGAAAATCTGAAATCGAGAATCTACATAAATGACGGTTCAAGTGCATGACTGCTCCTTTACAATCATTGCGCAACCTATTTTTGTGTCGAAAATCTGGTCATGCTTGATTCTACCAACTTTCGCATAACCTGGCTTTCAGAAGTTTAACAATTTAAAAAAATTGCTAAGAATTTTTAGAAAGTTTTGAAAGTACTGCAAATGTCTTTGCTGTTTTTTTTTGTCCGGAGCTCTCAAAACACTAGTTGGCATATCTCAAAGGCAGTGGATCGGCAAAATGGACCCTAATCAGATTTTGGTAGCGTTAGATGGTAAGCCCCCCAAGTAAACCGTAGCCTCCCCCCCCCCCACCCTCCGAATCATGCGCTGAGTCCTGAAAATGCGCTTTAAATCTCCACCGATGGTGTACTTGGGGGAGGGGGGGGGGGGAGGAGGGTCTACCACCTAATGCTAGCAAAATCTGACAGGGCGGAGGAATCTTGCATATCTTTGAGTTCAGAAAGCTTCATAGGCCAAAGACGTTCTACCATTTGGACTATTTTATACCTAGAAAAAACGCTTACTACTACAAATTTTATACCTAGAAAAAACGCTATATACTACAATTTGTTAAGTTCGTAAATCAGTGGCAAAAAAATGTTTGGTTAGACGAAAGTGAATGTAGTTTGGAAAAACTTTATAGCCTACAAATCCACTGTCAAAGATCGCAAGAGTTACCCATCGTTACAGTACAGTCTATAGACGACATTTGTTAGTCACTAAATGCGGACGAATATTTCTTGGAATACGCTTGGTGTGCCATAAAAAATCGTCAATGAAATTTAGGCACTAACACTAATTAGTCTCTTCTGTTAGAATGGAATTTTCTCCTAATTATTCTGGGTGAGTTCACAGTTGACATGCTGTACTGTACTTTGAGACAATGATTATTCTCAGTCTACTGGGCATCATTTGTTGGAAAATAGATCTCATCCTTTTCCCACGTCGTCTGTTACTCAAGCAAAGTTTAATAGCTTCTTACAGGGCTTTGTAGCTTTTCACTACGCATATCTCAATTGAAGTTCTTCAGTAGAATCTCGAAAAAAAATGAGATTTCCAAAAAGGGGGTCAGCAAAAAATTGAGATGAACTTGCAGAGATGTGGCACAAGAGGATGTTAAGATCTCTGAATATTCAGGAGCTCAAGGTTTTGGTTAAACCATGAACGTGAAAAGAACTTTTTTTTCAAGAATCAGCATTCTCGATTATTCCTCTCGTCCCTTCTTTACCTCACGTTCACAATACAGACTCTCAGTGATCACTGAGAATGTACTATCCTAAAAGAATCTTTCAAAGATTTGGCTATGTGATTTAACGTCTGCATGCCTAGTATAGCAGGACATTCACACATCACTGGTTTATGAGTAATGTCTGTTCTCGTAACCGTGCTCTATAAATGTGATTCGAACCGTTAAAACCTCTTCACAATGAAGTTATTGAAACGAGTAAGAAAAATGTGTTACCATGCTCCAATATAGTAGTATAGTCCACATCTTAAATTTTCATTGAAGTTGCAGGATGATTTCTATCTGCTTCCACTCTTTTAACTAAACTGAAAATGTTGGT